GAGTTTATGGACCAAGGCGATCTCTTCCAGTACCTTCGCAAGAAGCGCGACAGAGAACCCGTCGGTATGCAAATCACAACGATGGACGTGGCGTGGGCGCTGGCGCATGCACTCGCCGACATCCACGAGAAAGGTCTTGTCCACCGCGACGTCAAGAGCCCCAACGTCCTGCTGTCGACGGCGCACGGCATCAAACTCGGCGACTTTGGTACTGCACGTACTGTCGACGCCATCGTGACGGGCGGCGTCGGCTCGCAGCTCTGGATGGCGCCCGAGGTCTTTGGCGATAACAAGTCCAGCGGCGACCGCGCGTACTCGGCGGCCGCCGACATTTTTTCGTTTGGCGTCGTCTTGTCCGAGGTGCACACGGTTGACGAGCCGTATGCAGGCCAAGGCAGCCCAAGTGCTATCGTTGCAAAGGTGTTGACGGGGGAGTTGTCACCAGCGACCAAGCCAACGTGTGACGACGCGCTACGGATGCTCATTACCGCGTGCGTGGCGTTTGAGCCAGCCAAGCGCCCGACGGCCAAGAAGATTATCGCTTTCTTGGCCATGTACATGCCCACACACGAAGCCGACAACGACTGTGACGCCGATGGATTCCGCAAGTACAGGTGTATGTAAACGACGCCGACCTCTAGCCGACCCCGTCTCTTTGAGCACACCGTGCATACTGACGACCCACGTTGACGACGACGGCCACTGTAGACACCATTTTGTCATCCCATATTGCCAATAATTTGAAGTGCATTTTGATTTCTTTAGTTAGTGATTCCAACGTCCGCGTTGGATCTGTTGACTGCTTGATCAACGCCACTTCGCATCGTCACTAGTATATGTACCCGGTCGACCATACTCGCTAAAAGATACACTACACAAATGTCGCGCATCGGCATCGTATTTTTCGACTTAGAACGACCGCGAGTACTTTTTGATTTCGTACAAAATCTCTTGGGTCGTGACAATTTCGGTCGTGGGGCGGCCTGTCTTTTTGCCGATTTCGAGAAAGCGCGTGTAGTACAAGAGGAGTTGCGTGAGCACTTGCTTGAGGATCTCCATGCCGTTGCGGAAGTTGGAGAAGAACTTCATCACATTCCCGTTCATCTTGTCGATGCCGCTCTTCCAGTTGGCGTTAAAGTCCTTGGTGATCCGGTCGACTTTGCCGGCGTCCGGCGCCCCTCCCTTGGCCTCGGTTTGCTGCACGAACGTAATGAGCGGCCCATACCAGCACACGAGCTCTTCTTCCACAAACTTGTCGCGCTGACCCGTCAAAAGCTCGTCAAACTTGGCGGTCTCCTCGGACGTGATCTTGCGCTCCGTCACGACGCTCGTCACGAGGTCGTAGTTGTTGATGAGGAAGACACACTTGTCCTTGGAGGTCTTGTGTACCTCCGAGAGCTTCTCCAACAGCATGACGAGGCCGTCACGGAGCGCGGCGAGGCCGTTCAAGATGGTCGCGCCGCTTGCTTCGTCGTCCATGGGCGCCAGCGTCAGAATCGACGCGACAAGCTCCGCGTACCGCCGCGTGACGTAGTGCGGGTGGAGCTCGACGCTGCCGAGCTTCTTGGGCTTGGCCTGGAGCACGCTCTGGACGTTGAGGTCGATGACCGCATGGTACCGCGGCCAGAGCAGCAACAAGACGCGGTCCAAGAACGAGTCGAGGACTGGCACGTGACGCTTGGCCATGAGGGTCTTGTGGTCCGTCGTGAGGCGGATCATGAGGAGGAGGCCAATGCTGTCGAACGACGTGCAGAGGTAGTTCTCCAGCTGCTCGAGGCAGAGCGAGAGTGTTTTCGCAAAAATACGCAGAAAGAATTCGCGGACCTTGAAGCCGTCGGCGCCATGGAAGAAGTCGAGGAGGAAGAGGTACTCGGACGTCGCTGCGTTCATCAGGTGCTGCTGGAGGCTCCGAAAGATGGTCTCGTACGGACACTTGAGATTCTCAGCCTGCGCGACGTGGATCATAATGGGCGGCGCGGTCGCTTGCGCCAGAATCTGGTCGCGGTCGCCGAGCGAGAAGGCGTTCGTTTGCTTGTTGACGGTGACGCGCGATGAGAACATGGACTTGAGCGACGCCTCCTCGACCGCAATGACGTCGGTGCGTGACGCGGCTTCGTCATGAAACTTGATAAGGCCCGTGTGGTAGGCCTTGAAGACGCCAAAGAGGATGCGGCTCATGGTCTCGGCGTACGTCTCGCGGAATTCGAGCGCCATCGACGGCGCTTGGTCGTGTAGAAATGAGACCGCGTACTTCATCTTGAGTAGTGTTGTCTGCTGCACGATCTGCACGTTGGTCTTGGGCTTCTTGAGGTCGTTGATGCGCCCGAGCAGCCATTCGCGAATCTAGACTGTGGCGTGAGATATGTGGAGAGATAGAGAAAGGGCAATGTGGGCGAACCTGGGCACAGGCGCGCAGCTTGAGCTTCTCGAGGTCCGACTCGACCTGCTTGACCGCAGGCGTCGTGCCCGGGACAATGCCCAGCGACGAAACGTCGGCCTCGGCTTGCTTGGCGTACGTGAGCTTGCTGTTGAGGATCATGAGGTACGAGACGAAGCCGTCGTTGACTTCGCCGTCGTCAATGCCCTCGATGAGCGTCGGCGGAATGTAGACCTACGACCACATGCGCATGAGACAGAGAGTGGATGATCGGAGCTGACTTGATCGAGGAAGACCCGGAGACGCTCCTCGGCCTCGCGCCGGTTCTTGAGCTTGATGTTCATGCCAATGGACTCGTTCTGGAGGTGGCGGATCTCGTCGCTGATGCCGCCAAGGTCGGCTTGGAACCCGAGGAGCATCTCCTGCATGCGCGCGAGGATGTCATCGCACGACTGCACTTGGTTGTACAGGTCGACAATGTCGGCCGACTTGGCTACATACTGCGTGATCGACTCCATCTCGACGTCGCGCAGCTCGCGGTCGATCTGCATCGCGTACTGGCGCAGGTCCACGCCCTTGGCCAGCGCCTCCTTGATGAAGTCGTCCTGCTGGAACTGCTCGAGGTGGTCGTCGAGCTCGTCAAAGTCAATGTCTTCCAGCACGTCTTCGTCCTTCATGCTGCCACTGCCCAAGATCTCGGGCGTTTTCGTGTCCTTGTTATCCGTACACTTCCTCGGACCTCGCAATGGGCTATTTGCACGCTCCTTAAGAGGTGCAACATTCTTCCTGTTGAAATTAGATTGGCGTCTTTGGGGCTATCTTGGCCTTGCATTCCTGCACACGGTATGGTGGCAATCGAATGAACTCGTGTGTGCAGTATGTCTCCTTGAGCCATGGGAGGCATACGTTGCGAGCTCCTGCATACCATTCGAATTGCCACGCCGCCGTAAGATTAGGAAGCGTGCGAATAGCCTTCTGAATTCCTTCATTAAAATACACCGGCAGTTGTATAAAATTTATGATTTTCAATTTAGACTTAGTATTGGTATGCACGTGTATTAAATGAAGCCGGCGATCCAAGAAGTCTTTGGAATCAGGATTCTATTACGCGGTATGCAGAAGTGGTCAACAATGCAAGCTGCAACCACGCTCGTGGCCCGCGTCCTTGGCCGCCGCATGGCGTCGCCGCTGGCGCCGCGCCGCTTCCAGATGCTCTCGACGGCGCCGTGTTGTGACCGCGTCAAAGCGCACGCCCACACGGACCGTAGGTCACTCGTCGTCATGCCCTTTCACTGACCAAAGCCCTAGAAAAGTGCTGGAACTGCGGCAAGCCCAACGACTGCTGCGTCTTCTTCTGCGGCACGTGCAACCACATCCAGCCGCTGAATCCGAGCGGCGCATGCAACTACTTCAAGATCTTTGGCATGTACGCTCTTCCATGCACCATCATACCATCATCATCACCTCGCAGTCCCGAGAACTTCTCGATCGATCCCAAGGCCGTCGAGCAGCTCTATTGGAGTCTCCAGAAGAAGATGCACCCGGATCTGTATGGCCACAAGTCGGAGGTACGCGCCTCTTTCCATCCTCAGCAGCAGCAGTGCTCACGCCTGCCATAGACGGAAAAGGAGCTCTCGGTCACCAACTCGGCTGTGATCAACACGGCGTACAACATGCTCAAAGCGCCGACAACCCGCGCCAACTACCTCGTACGACCGCGATATGGCCTGTCATCGAAATCATTCTGGTTCGTCCTGTAGCTGCATCTCCACGGAATCGACGCCCTTGGCGACAACACCACGCTCATGGACCCAGCGATCCTGATGCACATTATGGAAGCCCGGTAGCATTTTGCGAACGCATTTTGCCTTGTCTCTTATGCCTGTATATAGCGAGCAAGTCGACGACTGCACGTCCGTCGATGAGCTCGAGCCGCTGAAGAAGGCGAATGCGACCGACATTGAGGCGTGCGTCGTGCAGATCACGTCGGCTTTTGACGGGTCGCATGACCTCGAGTCCTCCAAGCGCCTCACCGTGCAGCTGCAGTACCTCATGAAGCTCGCGGAAGCGATCGTCGACAAGGAAGAGGAGCTCGAAGGCTAGGACACGTGCTACTTATACAGCGTTTATGTACGTGCTTGGACCCGGTCCCACTCGTCCCCACTTCGATCCTCGTCGTCGTCGTCGTCATTATCGTGCTTGCTGCCGTCTTGCAACTGCACGCCAGAGGGCGTCACGACGCCGTTGGTGTCAAGTGACGCACGGCGAAACTTTTGCAGCACCACGCTCATGCGCTTGTGTTGAGCGACTTTGGCGAGACCGTCGAGCGCCTTCTTCTTGAGCTCGAGAAGCATGAGTCGCGCAAACTTGACCATGAAGATGCTGTTGGCAACGACAATGACAATCTAGCGAGTCCGAAGCCGTCAGTAGCGACCCTCATACGATTGGGCGAGTCATACCCCAACGGCGAGCCGCGTGCCGCTCGTGAGCTCGGGCTGGAAGAGGTAGAGACCAAAGTACATGGTGAAGAGACACGTAAGCAGCGAAGTTTGCTCGAGGTTGTTGACCACGTCGAGCTCGTACGGCGTCGCCTCCATGTGCATGTACAAAGCGGCGAAGATGAGGCCTGTCGCGCCGAGCGACTGCGGCCCGGTGCCCCACGCCTTGAGAAAGACCGAGACCATGCTCACGAGCACCTTGCGCATCATGATCCTAGCATCCATCATGAGACTCATAAAGATGCGGCACGCAGACAAGTATACCAGATTTCCCAGTAGTAGTGCGCTAGCTTGTATCTAGAAAAGACATGTCACGATGAGTCATCGTCTGAATGAAACCGTCGTATGCGACATACCCATCGTAGAGAAACCCAAATTGCAGTTGCGTGCGCGGGTCGTCCAGCGTCGCCCGACGGGCACGGAGCACACCAAAGGCAAAACCCGGGATGCCAAACGTAATGCCCACAACGCTCGGTAAGCCGACGCACAGCATCCACTTGTAGTGGCTTGAGTCGTAGCATGGGATGTCGAGATCAGCGTCCAGGAAGGCCATGACGACGCCATGCTCGTCCATCCCGAGCTCCGAACAGGAGAAGAGTTGAAAGATCTGCTTGGTGACGCCCGGATGGATGAGGAACATGAGCACAATGATCGAGAGCACCGACTTGTCATGAATCTCACTGCGCACAGCGTCGAGGTAGGCGGCTTTAACAATACTGAGCGGCTGCGGTCCTTCGCCGAGCTTTCCTATGGATCGCGTGCCCAATAGGACAATGTCGGTCGGGTCTTCGCCGACGGCGCGCAAAATGTCTTCAATCTCAGCGTCCAGAACGAGGACGTCGGCGCCCGTGCCGCGGCCAAGCGTGCCTTGCAGCAGTGGTGGCCACGCTTTTCGCTGAATGCGTTGCCGTGTAAAGCGAAACTTGAGTTTCCAGTAGATGATCGGAACGACGACACAGAGCAGTGGCAAGCAGAGGTACAAGATGAGCTGCTCGTGGTACGGCGAGAGACCGGTGGCGGCCGCCGACGAAGACGACTGCGCCTTGTAGTGGTTCATGAGGCAGTTGATCGAGATGAGCTTGTCGGCGGGGTTGGACGCCGCGCTCTGCGTATTGAACATCGACGCAACGACCACGGGCCACTGCAAGTCGAACGACCCGGCCAGACTCACGAGCTGCATGTACGAGGTAAAGATCTTGGTGATGATCGAGAACAAGTCAGCCTTGGTCCGCGACTTGTTGATGGTCATTTGAATCAGCATGACGGCGTAGACGATGCACGCGAGAATGCCGCCAATTAGCACCAAGACCGTCAGGGTGTAGTCGCTCGGGCACTCGACGCATTCGGTCTTCCCGCTGCGCGTGTACCCATACGCACACTGAAAGCAAAGGTGCCCGGTAAAGCCCCGCTTGCACGTTTCGGGCTGGACTTTGTAAATGGCCACGGCGCCTATATCAAGAAAGTTTATCGTTTGGTAATGAAGGAAGCGGGATCACCTGTGTTGGGCAATGGCGTGCTTCCCGTGACAAGAAGCTGGAGCTCACTGGACGACGAAGACACGGTGGACGACGCCACCACCGTATACGTGGCGCCTTGTACGTACAGCGTATCGTTGGTACCATAGCCCGAGCTATTTGAAGGGAGGAGAAGACCCATGGTGCCGCTGACGCCCGTGTCCACGACGACCGACGCCAAGTCGTTGCCAAGGAGGAGCCCGTTGCAGGCGGATGCCAAGCACTCGTTGAGCCGACACCCGTCGTAGCGACCCGATGTACAGACGCCGGTCGAGTTGGGAAACCGCCAGTAGCCGTCGGTCGCCTGAATGTTATCCCCGCCGCCGCAGATCGCACCGGTTGGACACGCGTGGCAGACGCTTTCACTGGCGTTCCAGCTAAACTGCCCAATGGGACATTTGACGCACTGCGCGACGCCTTGTGGCAGCACTTCGCCGCGAAGGCACCCCCGGAGATGCATCTCAACCGTGTGCAGCGGCAGAAGGTCGCCCCCCGTGACTGCCAAGGTCATGTTGAGGCCTATGAACATAGTTGATTGGGTGGAGCGTCATGTGGAGTAGAGATGTTCTACCTGGAGTAAATTGCACGCCCGACGTCGAGAAGTTACAAATGCCGCGCACCGCCGTGGCCTTGCCGGTCCCCACAACGAATGCTGACGTTGTCAGACTCACCAGCGTAACTTGCGTCTTGTTGTCGGTCGCAACAGTCTGTAAATACTGGTCCTACGCACAGCAGTAACGTTGCCTCCACGTCAAAAGTTGTCGACGACACATACAACAACATGGACGGCCAAGGTGCCAGCAAACATCTGCCCACTCGCTTCACCACTCACGACGCCATTCGACATTGGTGGCGTGTACCGAGGCTGCAGTGCATACGGCAGCGACGCTACGTCGGGTCCATACACGGCACTGTTGTTGGTAAAGATTTGCGAGGCCAACCCCAATGGCTCGACACTGGTCCAGTAGATGCCGCCACCACCGCCGGTTGTCGCCGAATTGTTGATCCAGCGTGAGTTCGAGAAGGAGCACGGCGCGTTTTCAAGGTAGAGCGCACCGCCATAGCCACTGCTGCAATTGACAAAGTTGGATGCAACGACGTTGATGATAGGCGGTGCCGACGCCGTGCCCATCGACGCGTAGACTGCACCACCGGTGGCGATTCCGGCGCGATTGTCGAGAAACGAGCAGTTGGTCACGAACGACGCGCTCGAGATCGTTGCGATGCTGATCGCACCGCCTTTGGCCACGACACCGGGCTTCGACCCGAGCAGCACCGAGTTGTTGTGAAAAACACTCGAATGCAAAGTGAACGTCGAGAGGTCCGACATGGAGATGGCACCGCCGACAGCCGCTACGTTGTCACGCAAAACCGAATGAAACAGCGTGAGCGAGTTGAACGCGACGGCGATGGCGCCACCGAGACCCGACGCGGTGTTGCCCAGCAGCACAGACGTGTCCAGCGTAATGTCCGAGAGGTCGGCGCTCAGCGCACCGCCGGTCGTGGCACTGTTGTACGCGAGATATACGCGGAGCGTACTAACGGTGGATGAGGCAACGGCAATGGCGCCGCCGCCCGCCGCCGCGTTGCGGACGAGATGTGAGTCTTGTAGTGTCAGGATGCTCGAAAAGCCGTAGACGGCACCGCCGTTGGCGCCCGCCGTGTGCTGACCGACGGTCGACGCCTGGAGGACGAGGCTCGAGATGATGCAGTAGAACGCGCCGCCGTTCTTGGTCGCAAACGCCTTGACAATGCTGGCGTTGCTTACGACAACGACGGAATCTTCGAGCGCCATCATGCCGCCGCTGCCGGACGTCGTGGCCTCCGTCTGTAGGTGATCAATCGTCATGGTGACGAGCACGAGGTACAGGGCGCCCCCCATCGTACTCGCTGTCGTGTTGGCAATCGTGACATTGACAATGTCACCGGCCTGAAACGTGCAGTCGATGAGATAGATGGCACCGCCTTTTGTTGCTGACGACGCGGTGATACTGAGGTTGGTCAACTGAACCGTTGTGCTCTGCGACTGCAGCACGAGCCCGCCACCGTACTGGAATGCCGTGCTCTATCCCAGACCGTTACATGATATGTCACATGACGTTGTCGTCGTACGTTGGTCATCGTGACGTTGTCAATGACCACGGTGCTCGACGTGACGTAGACGCTGCCCCCGTGACGGTAGGCGACACACGACGCAAACCGCGAGTCGGAGATGGCGACGACCGAATTAGAGTCGGCATACATCGCACCGCCGTCCGTGCCACTGACATCGGCGAGAAATGTCCCGTTCTCAACCACAATCATCGTGGCGGCCGTGAGGGCAATGGCGCCGCCCGCTTTGGTCGCGCGGCCGTGGGCAAACACATCGTCGGTTGTCAAGACGTGGTCGGACGACGAGACAAAGACGCTACCGCCGTACTGACCAGCGTTCGACTCGTAGAGATTTCGCTCGAGAACGACGACGAATTCGGTGCCTTGGGCGGACGTGCCTGTCACCATGAGTGCGCCGCCGTACTTGGTCGCCGCGTTGGATCGAAACACACTGTATTGAAGCCGCGTATACGACTGGACCAGATAGACTAGAGAGCGTTAAGAAATGAGGTCGAGACAGAGTAGAACAACGCACCAGCAGCACCAAACGACGCCTGATTCGCCCGAAACGTGCCGTTTGTGATCGCAATCAGTGGCTGCAGCGTCGTGTCGTAGCAGTTGAGCGCGTAGATCGCGCCGCCGAGACCTCGGTTGGTGGTCGGCGCGATCAAGCTCACGGTGTTGGAGTCGTACACGCTCATCACGTCAACAAAGGTCGAGCTTAGAAGATAGATGCCACCACCGGCGACCACGGCAGCGTTCCCGAGGAATGTGTTGCTCACGCTGCGTATTGTCGACGTCTCGGCACGAAGACCACCGCCCTTGTCAGCGCTCGTGTTGTTGCCAAACATAGTTGTTGCCACAAAGAGCTGTGTGTTGCTGGCGCGGATACCCGAGCCGGCGTTGCCCGTAATCACCGAGTTGTTGATCGTGACGTACGCACCGTCCAAGCCGATCGCGCTGCCCACGTTGTTTTGAAAGAAACAGTTGCCGATCGTGGCGACGCTGGCTTGGTTGATGGTCAGCGCAGCTTCGGGGACGCTGCTGGCGAGGTTGCGCGTAAAGGTGCAGGCGGAGATGGTGACGGTCGAGGGATTGTGCAGCGTGGTCGACGTCGAGGCGTACGTCGAGATAAAGACCGCACCGCTCAGCGTGGCGTTGTTGGCATGTATCGTGCAGTTGTCAAGAATCGCGGTGGCCGAGAGCACAGCTATGGCGGCACCGACGGTCGCAACGTTGCTATCAAATGTACACCCGCGCAGCGTCGTGACACTGGGCGCGACGACGGCCACCGTGCCTTGGCCCGCGAACTGGTTGCCGTAAAAGCGGCAGTTTTCAATCAACGCGTTGCCGCCGATGAACAGCGCCACGCCCCGCATCGGTGACGCAGTTGTCTAGTCCCAACTAAGTACATCCATGTGCGATAGTTTCAGATTGTCATACCGTGCAGCTGGTAAACGAGAGACCACGGATGACCGAGAGGCCTTTGGCGTGGCTGAGAAGCCAGCCGCGCGAGCTTCCTTGGCACGCGATTAGGGTCCATGCCGGGCCGCTCAACGACGTGACATAAATGCTCGTTGGAAATGAAAGTCCGCAGTACCCAGTGCCTTCGTATCGTCCCGGGAAGAGCGTGAGCATGTCGCCGTCGCGCAAGACGTTTGCAAACAAGTAGGCAAACGTGCTCGTGAATGGCGATTCGCGGGTGCCGAGGCCGCTCGCGCCGTCGCCCGAGGCGTAGCTACTGGGCGCGACGTAGTATTGTCGCGGCGTGAGATAGTTGATGCGGAACCGCCCGCGCCCGCCGAGTGCCGATTTGAATGCAATTTGCGCACGGCTACCGGATGCTCGAAACAAGCTGTTGGTCATACTCGGCGTCACGCGAAGGGCCGGTGGGGACGCTTTTGTCAATGGGCTCGAGTAGCGCGCAGTGCTGTTGACCGTCGTGAGGCTCGTCGCTGTCCAGGGCACGCTAGCATCTGGTGTCCACATACTGCAGTCGGTCGACCCCGGGTTCGAGGCGTTGTATGAATCAACGACCCACGCATTGTCCGCCGGCATGGCGACGCTGCTGTAGCAGAGTGTATCGATCGCCGTTGTGAGCGACGCCTCGACCACCTGCCATGCGTTGTGGACGCTTTCGTTGCTGACGTCGAGCTGGCACTGTGTGTTGCCCTTGCCAAGCGACTGGACTTGCCAGGCGCCGTAGGCAACCAGCGCATCCGACTTGTTGGGACTCGCCGTGTGGCTACTGAATGCGTACGTGGCGTAAAACCCCGTCGACTGCAACGACGACTGCTGCGGCGGCAGCGGTCCGACCCGGTAGCTCAGAATCACGTTGGGGCCGGTGGTGATGGTATAGGGTGGATGGCGACCGCAGAGCGCCACTGGCGGCCGTCCCGGCTCGATAAGACTCAGTGTTCCCTCGACGCAGATCACGTGGAGATGTGAGAAATCAATCGTGATGCGGTCGCTTCCGGGCGCTTGCAAAATCCACTGACACTGCGTGTTGGGCGGCACCGCCATTGTCTCGGTGACCTGGCCGTCCGTGAGCACCCCGCTCGAGACAGTGATGCTCTGATTGCTGTTGGAACAGCGCGGGAACGGCACCGATGCAAACGCCGGTGGTACCAGCCGATGAACGCTCACTGGTGGTTGCCACGAATTGTTGACGCGCGTCAAGTCGGCCGTCGCCGCCACGATGGCCATGGACGCGTCCCGCATCTCAAACGTGACGGTCGCTGTCGTACTGGAGACACTGTTGACCCAGAGGTCGGTGATGACGTAGGCAACCGACTCGGCTTGTTGGCTGTACCGCAGCAAGAGGTCTAGCACGGTCGTGTCGGTAAGGCCAAAGTTGTACGTTCGACTGCGCGCCAACGTGGCTTGCAAGAACGACGAGTTGGGTGCGACCCAAGAGACAACGACGGACGTCGCATCAAACGCGTTCGCAACGAGATGGGTTTGCGCCGTGATGTTGAGTGCGTCAGCGATGGCAGTCGCATTGACGATCGTTGCCGGCGGCGTCGCGCACCCGAGACGCCGGAGCGACCACTGACGAGTGACCACCGAGCGCACTGCAACCTCGCCGACCGACGCCGAGAGGACTTCAATTGTGCTCATCGTGGCCGTCGTTGGCGATGTGACGGCGTTGACGACCGCGGCTTCGGGCTCGAACGCGGAGAGCGCGCTAGGACCTGCATACGCCGCCGCAATCACGGAGTCGGGCAAGACGGTGTCGTAGAGCTCAGCCGCATAAACGGTGCCTTGCCACGTCTGGAGCGGGTTGCCATTGACGAGTCGACCACCAAGGACGAGGCGACTCGGGTCGCTGTAGCCTGCGATTCCAAATACGTTGCAGTCGACCCAGGTACCAGTGACGAGGTACTGGTCCCACTGCTGGTTCAAGCAGTTTTCATACGCTGCGTTCGTGTCGAGCGTGCTGTAGCGGAGTCCGTTAACGTAGTAGGTAACGACACCGTGATTGAACGTGACGACAAGGTGCATCGTATCGCCCGAGAAGGACGCGGGACTCACGGTAGCGGCTTGGTTGGTGTTATATGCGCCCAGAATCCACTGCCCCATGCCCTTGGTGACGCCCGAGATCTGTAGCACAAGCGACCCGACTCCAGAGTTTTCTTGCGAGAGGAGGTACTGCGGGCCGCTCGAGAGTACGACCGACGCATTGATGACGAGGGTAAACGTATTCGAAACTTCGATCGAAGCGAGTGCGCTTGTAAAGTCAAAGCGAACCAGCCCGCTAAGAACACTGTTGGGGGCGAGCGTCCATGCCCCGGTGTACGAAAGCACTGGCGTCGCCAGCGCACGGTAGGCCATTCCCGTTATCAAGTCGGGTTTCGTCAACCGACTGGGCCACGCCGACGAGAGGAGCGTCTGCGTCGCATCGAGACCAACGTCGGCACCGTTTCGACACACAAAGTACGGCTGCGTCCGCCGGGAAAACGAAAACACCGATGGGTACGGCGTCGACACGATGGTTGTCCAGTCTAAAGCGTACGTCACAAACTCGGCGGTCACGACGGCCGAGTCGGCGTCGTAGTTGTTAAAGTACAGCTGCACGACGGCTGCGCCGGTTGTATAGGCGTCGTCGGACGTCGACCACCAGTAGGCTTGGATCAGCGACTTGGCGAGCGCGGTTGTGAGTCCGACGCTGCTGGCGTCGGCGCAGGCAAGCCCCCGGCGATACGTGACTACATCAAACAACGGCGAGTTGGCGCGCGCGAGCGCCACCGTGGCCGACGTTGCCGTCACCGACGACTGGAAGATCGCCACTGCGTACGCAACACCGTTCGTGCGCTGAAGAAACAGCGCCCGGTCGATCGCAGTCGCCGCCGAGAGCCCGACCGTGGTCGTCGCGTCGTGGTAGACGTTGTCGATGGCTGCACCGTCGTAAATAGTCAATGCGTCAGTGTCTTCGAGGTCGGACGTGGCGCCAAACTGGAGCACGATGAGCGCATTGGACTTTTGCAGTTGCCAGAGACACTGCCCTGGCGGGTACCCAATCGGTGGCGCCGGTGGCACAAAGTTGGTTTGAAGCATGTAGCTATCCGGCGGAAACTCGAGTGTCCCTTGACGACCGGGCAGCAGCACGTCGGCGTCGCACGCCGACAGCTTGTCGGCGCAACTCGGGCCGGCGTACCCCGGGTCACATTGACAGACACCAAACGCACACGCGCCGTGGTGACACGCCGTAGGGCACGCGTGGCCGGTGACGACAACGCGAAAGATGGACGACGCGTTCGTCGACGACGGCAAATATAAAAGTGACAAGTGGCGCGTCGACGCCCGAAACGTCGTAAACGCAATCGACGATCGAAGCGTCGGGGGTGTCATATAGACACCACCTCGTAAGGCACCGTGGATGCCGTAGCGGCTACTGTCCAGCACCTACCAATAGCTGCATCGATACGCGCTCCGAGTCTAGATGCAACGTACTTTGGTAGCGTTGTACGTGCTCAACTCGTAGCAAAGCAGAAGCGTCGCGTCGGCTGTATCGCAGGCCGCTGTTTGCATCTTGACAATGTCGACGGCCGACTTGGGCTCGTCGTAGAGACGCAGTTGCTGGAGCTGACCCGCAAATGCAATGTGCGTGGCGTCAGGAAGCGTAATTTGTCCGCCGACAAAGAGCTGCGCAGGTACGGCGACCAATGACGTATTGACGCTGCCCGTCCGAACGACGCTTTGGCGCTGGCCGTCGACGTAGGCGAAGACGTCGTTCTCCGTCGCTTGGTAGACCAGCGCCACGTGAAGCCATGTATCTTGGAGGACGCTGGTCGCGACGGTAAACTCGGCGCCGCTGACGACGACCGAGAGGAATCCCGTGTCGGGCGCGAGCTGCACCGTCACATACGCATCGTCGATCGAGCCGTGGTCGGTGCCGAGGACCTTCATTTTCTTGGGTTTGGAATTGACGCAGTTGGCGGTGACGGAGCAGTCGGCTTTGGTCGACGACGGGACGTTCAGCCAAAAGACAACCGTTGTCGGAAGCGTAGGAAGCGGATCGGTCGACGCAATGTAGTCGGAGGCGCCATTCATTTTGATCGCATAGTTGAGCACCGAGAAGGACGACGCTGTAATGTTGGCGATCAAGGCTGCTGGCGTCGTGCCGTTGCCGTCGTAGAGTTCGATACGGTCGTCGGTCGACGTCAGGTTGAGATCGAGAAACCGCAGCCAGACGGACGAGATCGACACTGCGCTGGTCGTAAACGTGTACCGGCACGAAGTGATCGCCGGTGTCAGCCGACTGTTGGTCAAGTTGTACGTCGGAAACACGACGGCATGGGTGGTGGGGTCCAGAGGCAGTGTCGTTGCAGCAAATTGGCAGAAATGACGGCTGCCAACCTCGGGGAACGCCAGCGTCGTACTGTACTCCAAAACAAACCCATCAAAGGGCGTCCCCGACTTGTCGCCGGCGCCCGTGTACTCAATGAGAACAGACGACATGTTGAGCACGAGGGATGGCAAGTCGCTAGGTACGAGATACTCAGTTTTTAGACTGAACGGTTGTACCTACATGGCTGCCAGTTGGCTTGGTAGACTGGTCTCGGCGAGTCGGCCCTTGACCGTAAACTACATCTTGGTTCGCAATGAAATCTCACATGAAAAAGATGACGTACGCGATCGCTTGGCGAGAGTTGCAGCTGCTGGAGCTTGAGGACAAGACACGTGTAAGGCGCCAAAACAGGTGCAATGGTCGGCGCAATTGTAAACCGACAGACGCGGACACCGGCCGTGACCGTCGTTGCGTACCCATCCCGAATCGTACCCGTCGCATTTGTCAGCGTGACATTGCCGTTTCTAAGCCCGCACGAGTCGACGTTACTCAAGCACACCTCGGGCGACCCGTTGACGAGGCACCACGGCTGTGCCGTTGCTGGATCGTCGGTGGATCCTCCCGTTGTCTGGCATGAGAAGGCAGAAATGGTGTCCTGGACAATGCTGGCGTCGGGCCCGGTGACAACGCACTGCGCCGGGGCCGACGTCTCTGGCAGTAACGCAGAGATCACGTTGCAGCCGTGGCTGTTGACGGTAAACAAACGCGTTGCTTGGTACTGCTTGGCGTCGGTGCCGTGGGCCGTCGTTGTAGTTGTTGATTGACCACCGCCGCTGGGAGGGCCAGGGCCAAACGAGCTACCGGCGCCTGGGCTATTTGGGCCCGAGATGGACGACGACGTCGCAGCAAGGCGCCGTCGGTGACCCGCCACGGGCTCGTAAATGTAGCAATTGTTGCCGCACGGCTGCGTTGTGTCGTCGGCCACGACCTTGGTTTTGATGTAATTGTACGTGACGAGCAGTGTGACGCGCCCGGTCGCCGAGTCGATCGATTTTATGGCCGACGAGACGAGCCACGGTGGCATATCAGTGCACTGACACGGCTGCAGCGCCAGATCAAGCTGCGACGTTGCAAACGCCTGGGCATTTTGGAGACACATGGTGTCGCTATAGCCTTTTGAGTTCATGTAATTGCGAAAACGTTCGCAGTTGCGCTGTGTATACGTCATTGGGAAGCTGCAACGGCTACCGTTGACCGTCGTCGTAGGCTCGGACACGATCGGTGCAAGCGTAGCCAGGCTTGCTACGATGAGGAGTTGATCGATTTTCAAGAGGAAGGAATTATACCGGCGCGCGTGATGCATATCGGGATAGCTTCTGGCAACGACGTCTCGAACGACGTCGCGACACCCGCGGTGACCACGGTGACGCATGTGACGTCAAAGAAGCAGACGACCACCGACGAGCCACTGGTGCGCTGAAACCGTACTTGAAGCGCTTTGGATTGGCCGAGGGCATCGGCGACGGTGACGCGCGTGGTGACGACGCCGTTGACGGCAATGTCGACGGTCGTGGCGTCCGAAGGCGACACTTCGAGTATCGGTGACCCCGCTTGGTCGACAAATCTAAGTTGCCACGTGCCAACCTTGGCAATCCCGGTGACGTGAATGACACTGTCGACAGCAAACGTATTGGTCGTAAGGTCCACCGGGGATGCCAAGCACGGGTTGACTTCTACTCAAACGGTATGCAGTGGGATATTCATTCAGGCAGTAGAAGTATACCAGATGTGCTGACATTGAACGCAAAGCTGTACGTAGCAGACGGAGACATCGCATTGCCGCCAGTCGCCGTGAGACTCAAGTCATTTTGATACGACGAGAGATCCCGAGCGCTGCCATCACGGAATCTAGCGACAGTACCACAATCATCATGACACGACCGTTGCTACAAGGGGCTGAGGACGCACCGATACTCGGCAACAAGATAGCTCGTCGTTGTTCGTGACGACTGAAACAGCGTCGATGGTGTCTTCACCGTGTTCCAGATCCGTAGGAACGCCAGTGCACCGGTGAAGCCACCGACGTCAAGCGGTAGCGCTGGAATAAGCGAGACGCCGGTGGTCGCTACGGTGCCCGATGCAACAACCGTCGTGGTATTGGTTGTTTCATTGTAGGAATAGAGCGTTGTGTCGCCCGTGGCTGCATCCCACGTCCATGCGACCGAGTACCAGCGCCCGTCGTCGACACCAACGGTTGTTGGCCACACCGACGAGCCAATCGCAAAGGTTAGTGCTGACGACTGCGCCACCGATAGCCCCGGGTAGCTCAAGAGAACATCGGTCGAGTTGCGGGACGTGATGCGCAGTGTGATTTCGATGGTGACTCCCAACGTCGAGTCGAGTCCGAGGAGCGCATTGCTTCGTGCGAGAAGCGACGGATCAGAAAACAAAAGTGCAAAGTCGTCGGGGGCTTTGCACAGCTGGTTGGATCCGCAGACGGTCGACGCTGGGCAGTCACTGGACGAGAGACACTGCTTGCGAAGGATATCACTCGAGGTACTCCCAACGTGCACGCAGGCACCGTACGCATCGCATTGTGAGCCGGAACCGCACTGGTGTACGAGCGGACACGACTCGGTGATCGACCCGTCCGAGGTGTTCCAGTTCAAGTTGGGCTGTGGCGTTTGCTCTAGTTCGTCGAGTTAGTTTTCGGGAAAACTCTGCACAAAATACCGGGAATCACAGCAGGAAGGGGGCAGTAGATGCAGTCGCCGTTGAAGACACGGCCTTGGAGTGCATCGAACGCCGTGCTATCGAGACTCGGGCTGTGCTTGCACGTCGTGACCGACGCAGGCAACGTGCCACAGTCGGGGTCTAGAACAGTCTTGAAACTCTCGCTTTTTTAAGATACAAGTACCGTAGAGGCCGCAGCCGCAGTCGCAGCCGTCGCTAGCATTGTAGTGGGTCCCTGCGCAGAGCCACCCTTGGGGGATATCGCATGCCGGCCCCGACCAGCCATGCACGCAGACGCACTCGCCGTTGATGCAGCTACCATGTCTGCCCGAGCAGGCATTCGGACAGTAAGCTACGATCGATACTGCGTTAGTTGCCCGATGATGGTGCCACCGCACCTGCTTGCCACGCCACCGTAAACCCGGGGGCGGCGGGACCATTCAGCGACGCATACGTCAGAAACAGAGAGCCTTGGCCATTCTGGAGCGAAAAGCCGGGGGGTGGCGGGTTCTCGCCTGTGAACCTGGCCACGACCGTCGCGGTAGCCGATGCGCCGTCATAACTAGTCGCATTTTGCGTTTAATTCCAATATGACGGGTTTCGGTCAACGTACATGGTGACGACGGACGCCCCCCGGAGCTGAAACGCGTTGAACGACATCCAGATCGAGTCAAAGAGCACGCGAGTGCCGGACGTCGGGTCGAGTCGCGTCGGCTGCAAGAGCCACGCACAACTCATATTCGGCTGATTTTGGCCGAGCATGTTGTCACGAAACGTCTGCGCCGTCGTTGCGTTCGCGCCGTCGGCGACCGACAGCTGCGGCGAGAGGACGCTCAGACCGCTGCAAAATGTGCTTGCTAGTCGAAACGGTAGTTAGTATCACCTGTAGGAGTACATTGGCAAGATCGTACCGAACTCGTAGGTGGCGGCCATGCCATACGTCGTCGACTGGTCGAGTACGACGCCGTCCGGCTTGGTGAACGATCGGTAGATGATGTAGATGTCCTGCGCCGTCGACTGCATCGAGACGGTGCCACCGACCGTATCGTCGCCGTCGTTGCCCGTATAATAGTACCACGACGCACTGCGCGAGGCGTCGGCGAGCAGCGAACCGTACGTGAGGTCGCATTGACTCGGGTCGAACGAGCCCTGCTGGTTGGCAACGCACGTGTCCTTGGAGAGCGGACTCGTTGCATAGTCAAAGGTCCCGACAGCGTCGCCCCCATAGAGATCCAACGGGCGGGTGTAGAGCGACCAGCCGAGCGGGGGCGGCGCGTTGCGGCCGAGGTTCACGAGCACAACGTCGTTGTTGCCGCCGTAGTCCGCGTCAAGCTTCAGAAGCGTGAACGTGAGGGCGATAATTGTGTTGGGCTTGGCGGTCGTGATCTGCCAGTGGCAGTCGACGCCAGGGTTGTAGTTGCCGACCTGCGGCGACCGGTCGCGGAGGATGCCCGGGGCTTTGGCCAACTGCGTCGATGGCGTGCATTGCTGACCCACGCACGTCACCACCCAGAGAGCGAGCAAGAGCCGCCGCATCGAATCTCGCATCCGGTGAAAAAGGCGACTGAAACGGCGTGCGCTCATTTGTCGAAGGTTAGTGGGCTGGGCATTGGCGGCACCAACGACGATGCAGCGTCACAAGAGCCCACATATGTACAAAAGGACAATATGTGTCTCTCGTTCTTGATGCCATCATCGTTGACGTTCACGCAGCTCCGCTGGAATCGATGGTGCAGCAGGCGACGAGGATTGGTCGATTTGAATTGTTGTGCGCGTCGGATTGGCCGGATCTTTGACCAATGGCGCGCAAAAACGTTCCTGTGAACACTTTTGTCATAGTGCGATCCTCGGGTAAGACGCCAAGTGCCTTACTATATGCATCAGCACCGCCAACAAAGGTGCGCACGAATAGTTTACTAGTAGGAATACTTTAGATAAAACTTAGTGCCGGTAATGGCTCTCCTGATACTGAACCAAGAGACGCTTGATGCCAGCATGGCATTGCGCGCTCGCGACCGCCGAGGCCGTGAACCCTTCACTCCGGTGCCGCAGAAGAAACTGAACGACCTGCAAATGCCCCGCCGAGGCGGCGCGGTCAATGGCGGCCGTCGTGCAACCCTCGCCACGATGCGCATGGAGAAATTGTACGATGTTCACGTGGCCGTTGGCGGCGGCGTCGTCCATCGCGGCGACCGAAGCGCCTTCGGAGCGAAACTGATGCAAGAACCGGACCACGCTCCCGTGGCCGTGACCAGCTGCTCGGTCAAGCGCTCGGTACGAGCCTGTGAGCGTCGGGTGCTCAATGTGAAAGAACCGAAGCAGTTCGAGCTGACCAGAGGCCGCTGCTGTGTCGATGACAAGCCCCGAGAGCCAATAAGGTTGCCAGTCGACGATGGCGCGCACAAGAGTCGTTGCTTTTGCAGTCGCAACCGCGTGGTGCAGGAGGCAGCGGCGCTCCGAGCGCGCCACGTCATAGACGATCGGCGGCAACGTTTTGTAGGTGGTGGCGTGGAAGGTCGCGACGTAGTCGTGCAGACTGGCGCAGATGCCGGCTTGGTACGATACGATACTCGAAATCAGCTCGGGCGCCGTCAAGACAGCGATTGCTGTCATGGGATGTACTGTCGAAGTGCCGGCGGGCGTCGAGCGTCAAAGCGTCGACGATATGCAAACCATCGAAAGACAGAGGGCAGCTGTTTTGGCGATTTTTAGATATTTTCTTGATCGAAATTAGAAAAAAGATACATACTTCGGTGCTAGACAAGAAGACAAGCATTGCGGTTTACGCAATAACGAGCGCGACGAGACCGTCAAGGGGCATGGAGAGAATCACCCCGGACGCGCGGTAGACTTGGACGTTTTCAATCTCGCGCATCCGCTGGTCCGCCACGTCGGCCATAGAGACACCGCCCACGACCGCGGGGTTGATCGTTAGGGAACACTCGGTCTCAGGCCAAGACTCGA